CGTGGTGGGTGTGTGGGTGGGTACGTCAATACCGAGGTATAGGCGTAGGGGTCTTCGCGTTCGCTTTAGCACTGAGCTGCGTCCTGTCAATCGATGGATCGATGCGTGCCTGGAGCCTGTAGTGCGCCACACGTCTGTGGCGGCAGAGTGTGGCGGGTGAGATGGCGATGTGGTTGACGACAGAGATTCTGCCTAACTCAACACTAACGGACTTTGTTTCCACATTGTTCTGAGCAAACGAACCACGCTTTATAAGAATAAAAAGACGACAGTTGTCTCGGCTTTCTATCACTTGCTGCAAGCTTCCCTCACTACTCAGGTACTACTAAACCCCGCCAAGAAGTGGAAGTGCCTCATCATCCCCACTACCTCATCTTGAACATCAACACCCCACCCGACACAGCTCCATCTTCGAACACGCACGCAGCAACCGCCAAGATGAAGATCACATTCAAGGTATGTCCTTTGCTGCACTTCCGGCCGCTACGGAGCCACAGCTGATCACTCCGCAGGACCTCAAGCAGAACAAGTTCGTCATCGAGGCCGAGCCTTCGGAAACGGTGCGCAGACCCGCCACATGTCGAAATTTATCGCAACCACATGCTAATACACGCACTAGATTGGCGCCCTCAAGTCCAAGATCCAGGCAGAGAAAGGCTGGGAAGTTCCCCAGCAGAAGCTCATCTACTCTGGTAAGCTTGCAGCCGCACCCGGCGAGGTGGCATGGCAGCTACAGTCCAGTCGCTGACACAAGACAACAGGCAAGATCCTGCAAGATGCCAACACGGTCGAGTCGTATAACATTGAGGAGAAGGGCTTCATCGTCTGCATGGTCTCTAAGCCAAAGGCCGCTGCATCGACAAGTAGAGCAGCGCCTTCTACACCTGCCCCAGCAGCAGCCCAGACGCCTGTAGCTCCGGCCGCACCAGCGCCTTCATCCAGCACACAGAACGCCCCTGCTACACCATCGCCAGCACCGGCCCAGGCGTCCGGCGAACGCTTCAATGACCCCTCGGCTCTGACTATGGGTGGAGAGCGCGAGGCCGCCATTGCAAACATGGAGAGCATGGGTTTCGCAAGGGCTGACATCGACCGGGCCATGCGCGCCGCCTTCTTCAACCCCGACCGCGCGGTTGAGTATCTTCTGACGGTAGGACAAGCAACGCTCCTGCCATTCAGACACGTTCTAACGTCCTTCTAGGGTATTCCCGAAAGTGCGCTCCAGGAGCAGGCACAACAAGCACAAGCTCGTGCCCCAACCTCGCCCACCCCGCTTCAAGGCAACACAGATGCGCCCGCACCCACCGGGAACGCACCTTCCGGAGGTGATGAGCCGATGAACCTGTTCGAAGCCGCTGCCCAGGCCGCCCAAAATCGCGGAGGTGCTGGCGGTGCTCGCTCTGGTGGTACTGGAGGCGGTGCTGCGGCCGGTGCGCTCAACGCCCACTCTCTCGACTTTTTGCGCAACAATCCGCAGTTCCAACAGCTACGACAGGTTGTACAACAGCAGCCACAAATGCTTGAGCCTATTCTACAGCAGGTTGGCGCAGGTAACCCTCAGTTGGCGTCGATGATCGCAAACAACCCCGAGCAGTTCCTGCAGCTCCTCGCAGAGGACGCAGACGAAGATGCGCCACTGCCACCCGGTGCCCAGGCCATCTCTGTGACCGAAGAGGAGCGCGAGGCTATTGAGCGCTTGTGTCGCCTTGGCTTCGAGCGGGATCTCGTTATCCAGGCCTATTTTGCATGCGACAAGAATGAGGAGCTGGCCGCAAACTTCCTCTTCGACCAGCCCGATGATGCGGACGATCAGTAGAGGCCTTCGAGCTCTGTGCCATCACTGTGCGACCCTACCATACCCGATATTGACATTCGTCCGTCTGATATCACCGTTACAATCGCACGACAAATATCCCTGAAAATTGGACGATATTATCTCGAGTCCATTCCCATTACACGGCTAAGTGCAGTACTTGGGATGCGGAAAGGAATCTCCGACCAGTCCTACTGATTTCTATGACGATACATGATACCTTCCGCATGCGGCACGGTTAGGAGCTGCAACTGCTGATTCTCTGGGTAGTTCGAGGACCAGCATGCGCTTGCCAGGCTGAGTAATAGCTCATCAATAAATCATCCAATATCCAATATCGAATTGTAATGTGTAACACTACCAAGCTGACATGACTTCCTGACAATCGCTACTTACCCCTAGCCTGTTACACATCGGTATCGCAGTTGTGGTAATTTTACGCGAAATCCTATAGTCGACCCAGGTGGCAACAAGGGAAAAAGCACGTCCTCGTTGTCTCACTCAGCCTCCTTTGAAAAAACAAAGCAAAGGTCGCGTATCTCATGATCCTGCCCTGACCCTACGTTCACATCTCCTTTTTCCGTTTCCAAACGGACAGGCCTTTATTTTTATCCAAGACCCCAGGCGGCCCGCTCCCTCCCTGAGTCCCGCTCCCTGGTGCTGGGTCTTCTTTTTTGATTCCATGTCGTTCTTATCTAGGCTGATCTTCTCGTATTACGTATCTTCTTTCCTTTGTTCGACCCTGAGTAAGTGGATAGGTAAGTTTCAACGAATCTTGTGGTGTGAGTTGTGCTACGATGGTGATATCAGGGGCTGTTGCGAATGTTCGACGACAGCAATCTCGAATGATGTCGCACGCAACGAATGAATAGTAGAGAAGAACATTTGCGCTCGAAAAGGATCAAGTTGGTAAAGCAGTGGTATACAAGTAGACTAGCTAGAGAAAACATTATGCTTCCACAGCAGCAGCCTTCCTCTTGCGACTCCTCTTCTTCTTTTTCTTCTCGCCTTCGACAATGTTGCCGTCCTTGCCATTATCACGCCCAGAGGGTGCAGCAGCCTCTTCTTCGCCGACCAGAGCCTCAAACCCACCCTTGGGTCCGTCCGGATCGCCGAACGTGTCTTGTCTCCATTGCCTGATACGCGCCTTCTTACTGAGGAACTTCTTGTCCTTTTTCTTCTTAACGGGATCTCTGAACGCTGCTAGTTTCTTCAGTCCAGCAAACTCGTTCAGCGCCTTGTCATCTGCGAGCAAAATGTCGCGCGCAGTCAGACCGAAACTCGTGGGAGACGTTTCGCGATAGCGGAAGCGGGAGGCGGCCTTGGAGGGTTTGGAAGCAAGTGCTGCCTCGTACTCCAGGTTTTGGTTGACGAGGTTTTCTATTAGGCGGCGATCGCGACGGGCGGTGGATTTGGCTTCTGCACGTTCTTGTTTCCGCTGCTTAGAGGACTTCTTGGATGATGCACCAGTTTCTGCTTCTTCTTGTTCTTCGTCACCGTCCTCTGCTCCGGCATCGGGCATCTCGTCGTCTGATGAAAGGTCGGGTCGCTCTTCGTCAGAGTCATCCTTGAAGTCAGGAACGAGATCTTTGATGTCGATATCATCGTCAAACTTGGGCTTCTTAGGCTTCTTGCTCTTTTTGCCGCCATCTTCCTCGTCTTCGGCGCCAGCCTCGCCGTAATATGCATCGCCAAAGCGCTTCTGCATCTCAGCATCCCATTGCTCGTCTGACCAGTCGGCTTCCAACACATCCTTCCACTCCTCTATCTTGAAATCCCTGCCGCTAAGACCTCCGATCTGGCGAATTTGCTTGACCTTGTTCTCCATGTCTTCGACCTTGAGCTTCCGGAGACGTGCAAGGTCTTGCTCCTTCTCTCTCTTTTCGGCTTCTCTCTTTGCCCTGGCCATTTCACGAGCCTTCTTCCGACCGGTCTTATCATCTCGGCGGACTGTAGTGCTTGCAACGGCATCACGCGCGTAGGTCATGATTTTCTCATTTGCGCCAGTTGTGTCCTCAAAGTATAGGTTGTATGAGTTCTCCCATTCATCGGCAGCAGCATCTTCTTCTTCGTCGTCGGACATGAGTGGTTGGAAGCGGGCAGATTGTGTAGGCACCCAAGCGCGAGATGCCATGAAATTGGACAAGAACGTCTCGGGGTCTTGGTCAGCTTTCTCGACATCTTCGGCAGTGATCTTGACTCGATCGTTCTTGGCCTTCTCTGGCTTCTGTTTCGCGACGATAAAATCATCATCATCTTCCTCATCTGCATCCTTGAGCGCCTTGACGAGATCCTGCCTAGCATCCTCCTGTTCCTGTGCGTATGTCTTGGGCGGCGCATCCTCGTCCTCGTCTTCAACTGTGAACTTTCCCTCAAGTAGATTCTTGGTGTGGTAGTCTCGCAGCGTCATTGACGGCTCCTTGTTCTTTGCATCTGCGTCATTTTGGCCGTCCTCGAGTTCCTTGTAGAATTTGGCTTCCTTGTTGTAGATGCGAGGATCTTTTGCGCGCAAAGCCTGGAGAGTAGCATTGACCTGTTGGTCGAGTTCCTCATCGAGCAGTTCGGCTGCGTCATCCTCTTCCACGCCTTCTTCAGAGTCTTCGGATTCGTCGCCGCCGTTTTCGAACGCTTTGTCCTTGCCGTACTTTTCCTCTACTGCTTTGAGTTAGTAGCTGCAAATGACTCGACACAGAATACGCGTACGTCGGAATTTCTCCGCCTGCTTCTTGTTGTGCTCGTATTTGCGAGCGTATTCCTCGTTAACCTTGAGCGACACTCCGCCATGATCGCTGTCGGAGCCCTCGTCGTCGGTGTTGTCGAGCAACTTGGCCTTCTTGGTGGGTGGCTCGCTCGTCGCATTCAGCTCGCGTTTGACGCCGTTGGTGCGCTTCTTGTCCTTGGTGCCTGCCATGGCGGATGTTGAGGTGGTTGTTGGACTGGCTTGCGCCGGATGGTCACAAAATTTTGGTGGAGTCGGCGCTAGCGCATGAACCCTGACGTTCGCCGCGGCAGTGACGATGGACCCGCCGCAACCCCAATCGAGCGGTACGTGAGGGAGGAGAAGCGTCAACACGCGACACGCTCGAGTGCGCCTTCCACCATGTATCATAGCTCCCTTATCTAGTCTTGTTCAGCTTCCTTCTGCGATACCCATTTCCATAGCGTTTCTCCACGAGCAGCCGGCAGCATGGCGGAAGAGAAGCCGCCGCAGCTCAGCATAGAGCCGGTATCCAGACCGCTGGATCTGATGTTTGTCCAGGTGACTTGAGCTGGAGAGACAGACACGCTGACCAAGATACCCAGACCAGTCGTAATCAAAGAAGCCGCCCTCGATTCACCCACGTTCCGCGCAACCGCTGTCCACTACGGCGACCAGATCGAACTGATAGAACGATGGCTCACCTCGTTCGTCACGGCAACGTCGAAGCTTGCCGCCGAATGCAACAATATGCAGGCACTCGTAGACACGTACATACAAGCCTCGCATCCCCCGTTACAGCTTTCTGAAGCCGTCGTCGACCACGATTACACCGTCCTAGCCCTGAAGCGATTCGGAGAGGGCGCGCGCGAGTTCTGGAATGGCACACTGCGCAGCATGAAGAGGGCTGAGCAGACCATGTGCGAGCCCATGAGAGCATTTGTGTCCAACGACTTGCGCATGCTGAAGGAGGCGCGGAAGAACCTCGACTCAACACAGCGCACATTCGATGGAGCCATTGCCCGTTATGCCGGCCAAGTCAAGACAAAGGAGGCGTCATCGCTGAGAGAAGATGCCTTCCAGTTGCATGAGGCGCGACGGGCATACCTCCAAGCCAGCATGAACTTCTGCGTTATGGCTCCCCAGGTGCGACTGACACTAGACAAGATACTGGTCAAGGTCGTCAACGAGCAATGGAAAGACATGAAGGCCGCAACAGAGGCTTCAAGTAAAGGCTTCAGCGCGTGGACTTCAGACGTCGAGCGTGTACGAGGCTGGAGTAAGGAAATGGAGAACGGCGAGCGTGTCTTCAAGAGAGAGCTGCATCTAGCACGGCAGCAGATCGAGGGTGCAGCCGAAGTCAGTGCAAGGCCTTCACGAGACTTGGATACATATGCAGCTTCGACCGTCCCCTATCTTGGCACCGCGCCTTCGTCCGCAAACCTACAATCTCCAGCAAAGCCTGAGTTTGGCATCGAGAAGGCAGAGAAACAAGGCTGGCTGTTCCAGCGCACAATCACTGGCAAGCCGGCCAGGACCTATTGGGTCAGACGTTGGTTCTTCGTCAAGAATGGCATTTTCGGCTGGCTCACGCAGGGAACGCGCTCCGGTGCGGTTGAAGAATCAGAGAAGATTGGTGTGCTGCTATGCGGCATCCGACCAGCCTTTGCTGAGGAGCGACGCTTCTGCTTCGAGGTCAAAACGAAAGACACTACCATCCTTCTCCAAGCCGAGACCCAGAACGACATCACCGAGTGGATCTCCTCCTTTGAGGTTGCCAAGCGCAAAGCCCTTGAAGATACATCCAAAGATCTGTCGGGTGCTGCATCCGTTGACGCTGCTTTCTCCATAAGCCCTCCAATAGCTCCCGAGTTTGCCGCAAAGACCTCCGAGGGACACGCTGGCCACCCGGGTGAAGACACAGTCGCTATGGACCGTACCGAAACGCTCGGTATTCCTGGTGGTGATGCCAATGCGACACGCGGCAGCTTCGATGTATCGTCTCGACGTGGCACTACAACCGAAAGCGATAGCAGCCGTCGCGATCACACGGCTAGGATCATGGAGAAACTTGACCTGACAAGAAAGTCAACAGTAAGCCCTCAGTTGAGTGGAAGCAACCCCTCTTCTGCCAGCGGTGGCATTGCTAGTCTCATCTCCGCGAGTCTTGCCTCAGCTAGTCATAACATTGTGCAGGTTGGACAGATTGCCGCTCCTGCACCTGGACTCCCTGATACTCGCCTTGTCATGGGCCAGACACTTCCTTATACTAGTCTAGCTCCTTCTACCCTTGCGAGCCCACCAGCCCCGACAAACCTTAGCAAAGCCGCTGTTGCTGTGAGTGGAGAGCGAGGTCTTGGGACCGGTCGTTCGGGTAATATGCCTGGTGGGCTTATGGCCAACCTATGGGGCTCAGTCAACTGGGGATACGTCAACGTTCTTGGGCGCGAAGAAGAGACCAACACCCGTGATCGTAGTCAATCTGGACCTCCAAGCCCCATCAATCCATCTCCAGTCCTTGGGCCTAGTGATGAGAAGAATGGAACAGAGGCAGCGCCTACTGTCCCGACCAGCGCCGCTCATCGCAAGTCAAGTAGTATGGGAGGTCCAATTCCGATACTCAACAAACCCAATGCCGAAGAGGTTGATTTCCCAAACTACTACCCTCTAGCTCTGCGGATGCAAGACGCACAGTTTCGTATACTATTCCCTACTGTGCCACGGGCGGAGAAAGTTGTGTTAGTATTCCGTGCGGTATGGAATCCGACAGAGCAACAAGAGTTCCCCGGACGTGTGTACGTCACAACTAAAAATATTTACTTTTACAGCAATCATCTTGGTCTTGTGCTCATTACTGGAATAAGCATGGCTTCTATTGATGAAGTCACCGCTGCACCCGGCAAGGATTGCGACTTTCTTTTCCTACACTTCAAGTCAGGTTCCAGAGAAGATGGTGCAACTAGGCTTACTGTCAAGACGTTCCTCGAGCCTCTCAAACTGCTCCTGCGTCGCTTGAACTTCCTTGTACGCAACACTACCTCTAGGGAGCACAACCTGGAAGAAACGATAAAGGGAATGATCAAGATGGAGACGGATGAAAGTCTTAATTCAGCAGGTGAGGAGGGCTGGGAGGAAATATCCCCAGACACGCCTATTGACCCAAATACCTATGGTGGTGGGAAGAATATCAAAGCCAGTCTCCGCATCGATGGCAATCTATTTGGGCCATCTGGTGCAAGTGCTGGAAAGAACGCCACCAAGTTCAAACTTCCATCGCAAGCTGTAGTCTTCGCCCCTGCTGGCATGACGCAAGTCGCCGTGGAGAAGGAATATGACATTAGCGCGAAAGGACTATTTCATATACTCTTCGGCGACAAAAGCGCTGTATTCCAGTTGCTTTACCGGGAAAGGAGAGCATCCCGCATTGTTCAAGGGCCCTGGATCACAAGCGACAAAAACCTCCAACGAAGGGACTTTGAATATGAAGTCGCGCAGCCGGGTAAGAACGGAGCTATTGTTATAAACGACTACCAAGTCATCGAAGTCTTGAACGATCATCTTTGTTATGTGGTCTCAGATCGCAAAACGCCTTGGTACCTGCCAGGCCAAGAGCGATTTGTACTTCTCAGCAAGACTGTCATCACACATGTCTCGAAAGCACGGTGCAAGCTGGCTATTCACACAAAGGTAGACTGGAAGCGAAATCCACGTTTTGCGAAGAAGCTCATCGAACGTCAAGCCTTGCAAGATTTGGAACTTGAGGCGCAGGACCTTGTTGATGTCGTCAATGACCAGGTCGCAAGGCTCGGTCACAACAGAAGCACGAACAAGGTTACGGGCATTTTTGGTCAGATTGGGGCTCAGACACAAGCTGTGCAGCTCGATGCACAGGACATCCCACCACCAAACCGACCGCGAAAGTTCAAGTTACGGCCACAGACGACAGCTTCTTTTGTCGCGCAATATATCGGTAACATTGTCATCAGTATGCTGTCAACAGTTATGAGTTGGATACTAGCGATCGGCGCAGGGCTCGGCAAAGTCATTTCAGCACACTCTTTGCTCTTTGGTCTTCTGTTAGTCAGTGGTGGTGCCAATTTCTTCTATACTTCAAGAGACAGTTGGAGCTGGTGGCATGAGCGAAATGCCGCAAACTACATGTCGCGACTGGGCGTCAAGCCATCGACTACAATGACACGCTCGATTTACATTCGCGACATCGAGGAGTCGTTCTTGAACAGGAATAGTACGGGTCTTGAATTTTCAGTGCCAGTTGCGGCCAGCACCGATAACAGATGGTCTGTTGCCCTCGACTTGAAACCCTGACATAGCTAACTTTGCACAGCCATCAGACATTCACGACCCTCCTTCACGACCCCTTGTCGACAGTTTCGACACAGTCATTCTTCAGACCCTCCACACATAGCACCCAGCGTCTCCACCGTACGCGACAGAGCCTTGGCTCGCATCGTCACGACCTACTCGTTGCTCTACGGGTTGTTAATCGAATTGAGAAAGAAGTGGTGGAAGCCGAATACGAGAACTGGCTGCTGGATGAGACACACAAATGTAGCAAGGTTGGAAAGCTCTTGGAGAGCGCAGCCAAGAAGGGGAAGGAAAAGCAGGTGGAGGATTGGGTGAAAGGTTATTGCGGGGACTGTCAGAAGAGCTTGAGGGTGGTTGAGGAGAGCCGGAAGGGTCTGGTTTGAGTCTTGCTTCGGCTGGTTGTTGAGCTCAGATTGGACAAGGGGTCAGCGTACCGGAAAACAGTGTAATGTCGTCGTACAACCCACAAAACGTAGAAAAATTATTTCCGCTTGAAAAATGTGCTAAAACCTCTGTCTCCCGCATAAGCTCGTCTCGGGCTGGTCGCTCTGACGCTTGGTTTTTCCTACATCTACCTGGACACTTCCTGGGTTCTTCACCTCTCCCGCCCTCGCGTTTGCGCTCGACTTAGATCCTGACTTCTCTGGGCAATTCCAATCAGTTTGCGCAGCTAATCTGCTTAGTCAAACAACTGCAGCTATGGCCATGATCGGTATGATTTGCAAGCTCACAGACGACAGCGTTGTCGTGAACGGCGACCTCAAAATCTCATTCCGAAGGACAGTTCGCGTACCTGAAACTAAGGAATCAAACTGGCTCCCTCCCGACCTTGGCGCTTTCCCACTCAAACCCGTATCGCAACATAGCAAAAACCTGCCTCCTGGTATGGCTGTCAAGGGAGGAGTGCTCTTCCCCATGCATCGTAAGTGTAGCCAATGACTGCTTGTGACAAAGCGTCTCAGTCTAATGAACATGGTCCAGAACACGAGGCAATGTGGATCAACTTCAGTACTGTTCACGAAGATATGTTGCCGTATATGATCAAGATCTACGTTGGCGGCGTAAACGTAGTCTCTGCCCAAACTGCTATGGAGTCCATGGCCAGCCGCTCCCGTCTACAAGTACGACTGCAGACGACTCTGTCTAACCCAAAACCCGCGTCTCCTCTCCAAGATTACGTCGTGGTACCGGGGCAGAAGTGGATTGATGGGATTGCTAACGGAGACGGTACAGTTCGTCAATTCGTTGCTGCACCTTTACACAGCGGACTCTCGGTTGAAACGCAAATGACTGGCAAGGACGCAATAGGCGGGATACAGATCGAAATCACGCCTTACAAGCTCCCTTGCCCGTGTGAGTTCCCAGGTAGACCCATGCAGATCTTCCTGAAGCAGCTCGATGGTTCGACCAAGACCTTCAATGTCACAAACTTGGAGCCCATCGAGAACTTCAAGCTCCGTATTCGCGAGGCCACGGGTATTCCTACCAGCATCATCCGCTTAATATATGCGGGTAAGCAACTTGAAGGTGAATTACTTGGATCACAATCTAAGTAATACTAGTACGCTAACTCTATGCTAGATAGGCGAAAATTTGAAGACTATCGCATCTCCAAGGAGGCTACTATCCACATGGTCCTCCGCCTTCGAGGTGCCGGCTCCCTTGTACACATATCCACACCTGAGATGAACACCGCAGCTGGCGGTCTCATTAAGCAAGTCATACATCGCGATATGCATCTACCCAACTGGGACACCACTAAGACGACCGTCTTCAATGCCCAGATTCTCAACTCTATGCTATACCAGGCTGTCACTGGTGCCAGGCCTCTTGTGCCCTCCATCCTCCACGAAAGATATTTACATCACGGGCTTCCTTACTACAAGATGTACGAGGAGCTAAGCAATATTTACGGTAACTTCCACATGGTCAAGTCTGTGGGACAGATCACAGGCAAGGTCGATTGTAAGGTTGTGACAAAGGCTCCTCGAATCGTGAAGATCGGGAAAGACCACAAGAATGTGAGCCCGCCAGGTCCGCCGCAAGTATCGCATACGATATTCAAGCTAGAGGACGCGTTGGAAAGCTATCATATTGCGAACTTCTAGGCTAGCGTACAGTAGCATAGGCGTCAATGCATGATGTTCAAGAGTTTGTGAAAATATATTTGGGGGTTTAGAGGCCATTCCAGGTTATCATATCGATTCTTGGCTAGGAATACAAGTGGATGTAGGTTGAGCCTCCGTTTTGCTCAATCGTGGATGCCTGGAAGATATAGGAGGAGTTCAACTACGTAGCCTAAATCAAAAGATGGATCTCTTCCTTCCGTGGCTCATCTCCCTACTCATGATCAGACTTTTGATATGGCGCCCTTGTATCTTGATGACAAAAGGTCCCCTCATAAAGGATTTCCACCGGTTTCTGATTGTCTCAGCGGTACTAAGTCACATTCAGCTCCCATGCTCTCTATTCGACCCTAGTTCCTGTCTATGAGGGCTGCCTCTCAAGCGTACCTTGACGAAACCAATATCCTGTGCCTTCTCGCGGAAAGCCTGACGACTCATGTTGAGTCCGTACTTGCGGATGATACCAGACTTCTTCTTGTCACCAGTGACAACACTGTCCATAGAATTAGCAGCTGGTCATCTCGTGAGTAAGATAGGTTCCAGCCTACCAGCCAATAGAAGCCTTTCCGTAGGTTCGTGGGCGCGAATACCAGACAGATTCATGTGACATCTTGGTGAGTTTGTTCGATGGGATTTGGAAAACCGCTCGTCGTTCAGCAGTCGGGAAGCTGTTTAGAAGTACAAGAAGAGTCTAGGCAGAGTTTTGCAAAGAGAATTTTGTTTGTGTGGGAGTAGAGGTGCATGATTGTGTGTGGTAGTACCTTGTTGGACACCATGTCTGGGATTGCATATCATGGTACTCGCAAGGGGATGCGGTAACGTGATCTGAAATATCACCTAATGCGTAATCACAGGCACCTTCTCTCATCGTAACGTGAGCGTTAAATCTGTCTTTGATGGCTTTGCGACAGCCGAAGACTGTCGTGCCCGAGATCATGTATGAGTCTATCTTACACCCTGAACTGGCACAGACGGTGATGACACTTCTCGATAGACAATGCACTGCAACAGGAGTAACGATGAGATGTAGAGATTCTACAGGAGTGACATTCGTTCTGACGTCTATCTGCTTGAGCCTGCTCAAAAAGATCTCAACGACGCACCGAAACATTCCATGAAGACAATCTTGACTACAAGCCGATACGCCCGACCGATACGCCAAAATCCATTTAAAGAAAAGGGAAGAAGGGCGATACACCCTGTGTAACCTGACTGCATGAACCATAACTATCACCCTTATGACGCTTCGTGACGGTGATGGCATCGAGTTTCCGATTTCCAAGTAGAGACTTGGAAACACCCAAACGTCTTTCCTACCACAGCCGATATACGCAAACCGCTCCTGTAAGCTATGCAAGATCAGCTGTCCTATTCCGTCCATGGTATAATTCGTGATGTTGCTCCAATGACGTTTAGCTGGGAAGCAAGGATCAGAGAGATGCAAATGGATTTTTGTACAGTCCCTGAAACCGTGTCAGAACGCATCGTGCGGTGCCAGCCGCAATTAGTGGTCCTCGTAGTTATGGACGTCGAGAAGGCATCATGTTGAATGTCGCAAATGGAATGGAACAATGCGGATGCGAACCGGCCGCTCCTCAACCCCCAAGAATTACAACATCAGGTCACCTAATTCTTTTCATATGTCATCAATGTCGTAGTAATCGTCGAAGCCGTACGGGGGGCGCCGTATCTGAGGTCTCGCCCAGCCGTTACCAACATCATCGTCGTCTTTCTCCGCATCTAACGGTGTCCAAACGATAACTTTTTTGCGTAGCCTCCAGCTTCTCTTGTTAAACCTCGCTTTCATGTCACGCTCTTTTCCGTATCCAGGCGATTTCTGAGTAACGTCTATATTGTCGCCGCGCTTCACTAAGACGAGTAATGCTTTTCGGGCGCCAGCCCCCCTGGTCAGCTCTTCGTCGTCAACCCTGCCAAATCCTTCAAGCTGATGCTCTTGTGGGTTCTGTTCAAAAGGCTCCCGCCTGTTCGTATCAAGGACGGATGTGCAGTCATTTTCCTCAGTCGCTCTGAACACTTGCACAACGGATCCGGAATCTTCTCCATCTCTGTTTGATAATCTCTTGTTCCAAAACCTGGGCTGAGGCTGACGGCAGATGTCCCCCGTTTCGCGAGATCCGTGGCTTCTGGAAGGGCTAAAGCCGAGCATGCGTGAACTCCGAGTAACATAGCGAAGCTCTTTCCATCCGTTGCCGCGGTTTATCAGGTTCGTAATAGCGTCATACTCCGGCGCAGCAGCAGCTACCGCAAATACTGTCAAGCAGTCCAACCTGAGTGCAGGAAGCAACTGGAAGATGGATTCATGACGGTACATGAGGTCGTCGAAACCTTTGAGATAGCGCATCATTGGGGAGCCGATCAACCGAAGGTGGCGGATCTTGGATACAGTAGAATCCGGTAATTCGGACAGCCTATTTAGCATAGTCTGAGGGTCTTCAAAATTGAAAGTAACACGCTGAAGCCATATGTCGCGTGTTTCGATGTGAATCTGGCGGGATACGCGCAATAGCGCGAGGGAATGTGGGGCAGGCTTGAGATACCTCTCGCCATAGCGGGGTGTGTATCGCAGTCCGAACGTCAGCCTCGTCGAGTTGAAAGCCAGCTCCCATATCTCGTCGCGCAGTTCTCGAGGCAGTTGCAACAAAGGACTCGAATCATTCAAAGCAGTATTGTCGTCTGTCATCCTTATCGACCTGATGGAGGTTTGGCGGGGTTCATTGTACCAGCGGTACCGGCCACTCTTGGGCGGGATAAAGTAGTCTTCGTCCTGGATCATCATCTTGGAGAAGGTTTGCCCTGCATTGGAATCGAAGGCCGTGGACGGCACCGAGACATGGGGATTGGCCGGCTTGATAACGCCTTGGTGGTGGTGAGCGCCAAGCAGGTTCCCGACTTGCCGTCACGCGACACCATATTAGTCGCCTGGCAATCTCGACTCAGCCACCTTCCATCTCCACCCAGTTGGGATGGTTACTCCACTCTTCTATCTCGACTTTTCCAATACTGTCAAAATGCCTCGCGCCCGCCGAATATCCCGCAGCTTGTTCCTCGTTCCTGGTTACAAGTTTCCCGGCCGACGCCCCGCTCCACAATCTGCGCTATACGGATGTCCAGACAATAAGCAACGCGTTAGGTTGGCGATTACATCAAGCGTATGCTTGGGACGCGTCTTGCATAGACTCCCGCACAGACAAAGACTCCGAAAATCGCGCTTTGAAGCTAACAGTACACAGTGGTACGCAGCTCTGAGGACCACACATGGAGCCGATATCCAGCCCTGGCAAATCATCGACGACACCGAATCCTGTCGAACCGCTGAGTCTAGATACCGAAGCCCTGCCAAGCATCTCCACACTCACCGAGATGCGCTGTTTACCACCTAAACGCTATGCCACATTGATGTCGATATCCCGTCTCAAGTTGCTATTACCGAGGCGTATGGCTAAGATGCATACAAGCGAGCCTGCCACCGGAACATCTCGGGCGCCATTTCCACCGTCGATTGGTACCATCGTCCTCCGAGCGGCACGGTAGGATGCGTCTCAACAATAAGTCGAGGCTGACAAGTATGCCGTTCCACTAGAACACTGATCTTGAGGAAACATATTCGTGCTTAAATCGTCAAGTTCCTATAACGCATGAACACTCTGGAGATCGACAAGCTTGTAACGGCTTTCTGGTGCTTGGTGCGGGAAAATTGAAGCTCGGGTCAGCAACGCAGCTGTGGATCAGACTCCATAGTCAGTCATTGGAACTCCGCCCAAATGCAACATGCGTGAGACCTATGCGTGGGGCTCCACAGCACATCGTTTGGTGCGGCCCTCGCCATGCCGGTACATTGTTCTCAAGCCGCATATGGATTGCATCGGTGACCGCCGGACAGGCTCCAATCATGGTATATGCGCCACAATAGAAGCACTCGATACGAGATGGCTTTCGGATACCTTCCTCAAGAGTCACCCTGTGTGCCCAAGATGAAGCAGTGGGGTCTTACACCGGTATACCGCTCTTGGACATACGACAGAGTGGATCTCTGGCCTATGCTGGAGGAAGTCTAGCCGTGTTAGCTTCTTGATAGGTAAGACTGTGCAAAAAGAATGCGGATACATGGCTACACTACAACGAACACCAAGCTCTTCGTAAGTACGGTTTGTGGCTTAGCTCTTTCCTGATCCTTGCTGGAGGCTCATGAAATGACATCGACCATTACCTCCCGCCCTTGGAAGCGCTCTTGACGGCCGACGTTTCTGGGTGGGCTGGGTTAAACGCGCGATATGCTTTGACGAATAGCTTGGCCCAACGACTGCAGTGACTTCAGGCCTGTTGACTGATACGCCGGGACCCTCTCCCATATCTCCTCGCTGATTGGATCTGCCAACCTTCTTTTTACGCCAATGGACCTGGTCTGTATCTACCTTGGGTTCTGTCTCAGTCTTCTCTAATGCTTGTAGCATGATTCATTGCGGTCTATCACCTAAAAAAGAACACGTCAATGGATAACACCACATTGTTGTCCTGTCGCATGATGGCCTTTTACCCTTTCTCCCCTAATACCAATCGTATGTTCTGCTACTGACCTGCATATTTTCGTCGTCAGTCCTCTGCAATTCTCCAACCTTGCGCAACACCTGGCCCCTCTTCCCTTTATTCTGCCAACAACGATGCCTACTTGTTTGCTCGTCGTCACGGCCGGCGCGCCGCATTACCTAAGCCACTTCCCTTCCAGATATCCGACTGCCAGACTTGTCAACAATCAAGCCAGCTTGATCGCTATCAAGCTGGCGCATCAAGCTGGCTAATCAATCAAGCCAAGCTGGAGTAGAGGTACAAATCAATCAAGCTAAGCTGCTGTAAGCTAGCTTAATTGTTTGGCTTGATTGGCTTAATTGGCTAAGGCCTACGCGTAAGGTTGTTAGGTTTGCCGTAGCAGCGATCACACGATACTTTTTTGGTGTTAAGGTCAGCAACTAATATACAAAAAAAATTCCTAACAACGCTGTATATACATATATATATACAAAAAAACCTCACGATAGAGCTATTACTGCCGCGATTTAAATACAGCAAAAAAAAATCTCCTAATACTACAGTGTGTCGCTGACGGCTGCCTGCTTCGGGCGACCGTAGGCGACACACTGTAGCACTAGTAAGTACAAATACAGTAGCTATTATAC